AAATGAAAGAGCGGGTCGAGAAATGGCGTCCTAGGGCCTCTAAACAGGACAAATGTCTCTAAAGATGATGTCTGTTTTCAATTGAAAAGCAGAGCTGTGAGAACATTGTCTAGGAGGACAATGGGGCCTAGGAGTATGTATAGAACATTGGGGTGTAGGAGTTTCCCCCGGTTCAAAACCATCTTTAGAGGCATCAGCACACCATTTCTCGACCCGCTCTTTCATTTGAGCCCAAAAAAACATTCATATCTTGTCTGACATGTCTGCTACAAACTCGGATCTTCAACTCGGGCCTTCAATTGAAAAGCAAACCCTCTTTTTGTTGCTTGAAAATTTTGAAATTTCATTAATTTTTCAGTGAAACTTGGAATTCCACGATTCTTTTCCTTTCAATATCTTCTCTCCCACTGAAAATCAAACAAATTTGCCCTCAATGAATATTCATAATAATTCTCACATCACTCGAAAGTTTCCACGTGTCGATTACAAAACGGAATGTTACCTGGAAGAAATGTATTTCAGCATTAGAGAGATTGAGAAATCAAATAGAGAAAAGTTATTTCACAGAATGTCAATTTTGAACGGGATGCGAACATCGGAACCAGTTTTTCTAGCCCGCTGGGTGTGGAACGAAGACACACAGTGGGTCTGACAGTGGGGGAAATTACGAGGCCTAAAGAAGCGTTGGAACGCAGCATATCAGTACGCGACTGGTGAACGTTGCGTCAACATTGAATATAACACTGATAAAAAGGACTGTTTGAACCGGCCAAAATGGTCTGTTTGGTCACGATATTACTCATTCTGTATGTTTTCTTCGATGTGAACTACTTCCTGAGGATATTCCTGACACTGGGGTGGGGTAGACTCTTCCAAAAGAAGACGAAGGTCTTTGATCCGACGTGTATTTACGGTATCTAGAATTTTTTACATTCTTCACAGCAAAAATGAATGTCAATTTCACACATCTTTTGCGGATATTTTTCAGACACTAAAAAACGTCTGAATCAAATGAAAATTTACTCTGAATTTCAAACATGAATTAAAACGTTTGGGCACCTGTTCGTCTGAAATTTAGACACATTTTCACTTTATTCAGACATTTTTTACTGTCTAAAACATGTTTACGAAAGGTGAAATTCAGGCATTCGTTTTTGCTGTTTCATTCAGTGATTCTTTCGTTCACTGAGGAACGATTAATTTGGTCATTCCTCCAGGGATCTGCACCACTCAGGACGTCGACCTATTCCTGAAGCACATGAATAATGCCAGATACTTGAGAGAATTAGACTTTGCTCGATTCCATTACTACGATCGATCGGGGATCTATGGAGAAATTAGGAGGCGAGGAGGTGGCGCCGTTCAGGGCGCCTCTTCCACACGATATCGTCGAGCACTTGGAATTTTAACTCCGTACAAAGTCACTACTAAGGTAATTATAATAGTTGGCACCGGCGGGGGCGANTTGGCACCGGCGGGGGCGAGGGGGGGGGGCAATTTTAACTTTTTTTCAAATGTTCATAACATAACTTTTTGTTGACAACCACAATCTCCATTCCCCAAGGATCTTTCCTCGGAGAATGATTATTTTGCTGAGATTGATTATTTTCCTGAAACTGATATCGGTAATTATCCTGGTTTTCCTCCTACCTACTCCAACATCCGGTCCAATATTCTGTGACGTCACAAGATGTGGAACGCTATATAAACTCCCGTCTTTAGTGAAACGAGTAAAGAAAATATTTTTTTTTAGCTCAGAAAATAATTTAATGGAGTTTTTCCTGAAATTCTCCCATTCAATTCATTAGACTAAAATATAACGACAATCATTTCTTCCAGTGCATAATAAATTTACGAAAAATAATAAATAAAGAGAATAAATTGAAAAAAAAATAATTCAGCGTTATGTGTATTAATTTCCTTGACTATTCCTTCAGCTCATCTACTGGGAAGACAAGAATTTCTACCTAGAACACGAGTTCATCAGTCTCACCGACAACTTCATCCGTGCAGTTGTGTTGAGCAAACAGACCGTCACCGGCCTCAAGGACCCAGTTTCCGAGCTCATTGCCAAGGTCGAGCCGGGAGCTCAACGACCCGAATTAAACCCTGATCTCAAGCTCTGGATGGAGTCCATGGAGGAGTCCTCAAAGAAGCTCAAGAAGCAGAATTGAGCCTCAATTCGTGTTCTATTAATTATCCCGGCGTTTTGCAATCATAATCCATCCTTTTCGCATTATTATTTAATTATTTTCCCCCTTCATTTCTGTTAGTGTGGGCTGAAAAGGGCTGTGAAATAAATCGGTGAATGCATTTCTTGATTTTACCTTTATTCCCCCGAGGCAGCAACCGCATGATCATCTGCGAGATGAGAAAAATGACGAAGGGAAATTTTTAAAGTAGTATAACCATAGCTTTAATTTTGAAGATGAAAGTCTGACATAAATTGAATAAAAAAATTCCGGTCTAGTTCGTTCTTGATTAGCAGTCTAGCATTATTGATAATAATTAATTCAGAAGTGGCAAAGTAACATAGAGTTTTATGAGAAAATTAGTGGGGGTTGGGGTAAAATGGACACTTTTGACTTTTTTTAAAATATTAGTGGCGGATTAAAATGTTGATGAAATTTAATAAATTTTTTTCAGTACAAAGAACAATTCTTTCCCCTTGTGATGAGCCTAAACTGAGCTCTATTGTTACATTTGTTTCTGAGTTATGAATAATTTTAAAAATGTCTAAAGTGTCCATTTTACCCTACCCTCCCCTAATTTTTTGTGATGAGCAAAAAATTAAAATGTAGAAAAAATCTTTAAAAATCAGAAAAAAAAAAAATTATGCCTCATCAGAAAAAAATTGTAGAAACAATTTGATGAATTAGTTTTTACACTTGTCAAAGTTAGAATTCATGTAAGAAATCAATGATGAATAATTTTTTGGTAAATAGGTAAAATAGCAACTCCTGGAAGTTCGTAAAACTGTAATTAATGAATTAGTTTATTAATTGAACCTATTTTTTTTATTTATAAATTTATTTTTCCTCGCTGCACTCAATGGCTACTTGGACTTTGGATATACCACTTTAAGGGGAAACGGAACGGCTGTCTGTACGAACTTTTAGAATAATATTTTCTCTTGCAAATATTATTTTCCCCTTATGAAACTAATCCATCACTTCAATAATGCAGTGATCGAGTCGATGAAGTAGTTTCATACCCAAAAATGAATAATTCTAGGAGAAAACAGCTCTAAAAGTTCATTTAGACGCAGAGGTTCCGTTCCCCGCACAGTTGGGCGGGTTTTAGCACGTTTTGGGTGTGTGGGCTATTTTTTCCGCCTATCCCAAACTAACTACTCTCGGGGGTAGCCAATGATATCCCCAGGAGGGAACCAATGACGGCGCTCAACCAATGAGATGAAGAAGGTCTCAGTTTTCTCATTGGTTGCCCCCCAAGTGTAGTTAGTTTAGAGACCACTTGGCGGCTCTCGCATTTATGTTGCCATCTCGACCGCTGTTCAGTTCAATGCGCCAGTCGAGTGTGTCCGTGCACTCTACAGAGTTTTCAGAGCTCCTAACCTCTGAGAAACCAATGCTACGCTGGTTATCCACGATGCATTCCCAAAAACTCTCCTTGCCAGCGATTTATTGTTAAACAGACACTTTTGGAGAGCAAAAATTCCCGCTAAGCTAGTCGTGTATCAAGTGCAATAATAGTTCAATTATAGTTTCGATAGCAACTCAACAATGAAATACATAACCTACATTGTTATCAATTGCTGTGATCCCCATCCATGCTCTCAGCACTGGAGTACATTATAAATCCAGGGTAGTGAGATGGCCTTTCCCTTAAACGATCAAGTCTACACGAAGTCTTTCACCCCGCGAGAGTACCAGGTAAACATTTGGTGAAATTAAATTATTTTGCCAGCTGCAAGGGCTAGTTCTCGTAACTGGATTTTTTTTTAATGCTGTCGATTTGAATTCAATTTAACGTAGGGGAGGGTGGGGTAAAATGGACACTTTTGACTTTTTAAAAAATACTCGTAACTCAGAAACAGATTGATCAATTGAGCTCAGCCTAATCTCATCACAAAGAGGAATCATTGTTTTTCAATTGAAAAATAAAATTATTCCATTTCGTGAACAATTCAACACGTCATGAATATTTAAAAAAAAGTCAAAAGTGTCCATTTTACCCTACCCTCCCCTACAATTGTTTATGAACTTTCTGATCCATTTTGGGGATTCAACACAATTGAGGTTCTCGGGTTAGGCGATTATTTATATTTTAATGAGTAAATACAGGTGAAATGCTCAAACTTCTTGTGAAGATTAAACAACAGATTCTATTGAATTTTCAATAGATTGAAAAGTTAGAACGATAGTTGTCGAAATTTTCATAATTGTCAATTTATAAATTGCAATTTTTATTGCCTGACAATTGCAATTTTATTGAATATTCCAATTTAACTGATTCATTAGTGATAAAATATGTAGGAATTTCTGGAGTAATTTTCTGATTGTGTAAAATTGATTTTTAAAAATTTGATGAAATAAAAATATTTCTTCGGTTCCAGAAGCTAGTTTGGATTTATTTTTTAAATTTCAAGTAATTCATGTTCACTTTCATTTGAATTTTGAACGTTGTGAATGTGAATTCACTTTAACATCCAATTGTCCATAGAATTTCTCATATATCTTGGGAATTGAGTTTTTTTCGTTAGACGATTATTGATAATTCAATGACAGTTTGAATTTTCACTAGATTGAAAATTCAGAACAATAGTTGCTTGGAATTGCACAATCTTCAATAATTTTCACTGTCATATGGACCTGGAAATTGTAATTTCATGGACTACTTTATAAATTAACTTATTTATTGCTAACAAAATGCATGGAAATTCCATATAAATTAATCCTCGTTCAAAAATCCCAATATTTTTATTTGAAGTTTCCGCAGTAATTTTCTAACAGTGGAAATTTTTTTTTCGGTTCCAGGTGGAATTACTCTACACCGCTAAACAGAGAAATATCATAATATGTCTAGGAAAATACACAGAACAAACATTTATCGTAACAAAATTAATTCAGGAGTATGCGACAGGAAATCGAAGTCCAGTCCGCTCCTCCCAGAGAATTGTTTACCTACTAGATAACGAAGAGTCTTGTTCCCTGAAATCTAGTTATATCGAGCAATTGACAGACTTGAAAGTATCACTCATCAATTCCACAATCAGGGAGAATGAATTCACGCACAATTTTGCAACGGCGAACGTCATCGTCACGACGAGCCAGATTTTTCACCAATTGGTCAAGACGAAAGCGATCTCTGGGGAGCAGATTAGTTTATTGATTTTCGATCAGTGCCAGTTGTTGATTAAGAATGAGGAGATTGGGGACTCTCTGGGGATCCTGAGGGGGTCCCTAGGGAGTGAAGGATTGAGGGTGATTGGTTTGGCGATTCCTTTGTTGGATCTCACGGAGGAGCCTGGAAGACTGAGCTTGGAGATTAATCGGTTGGAGAGAACCTTTAAATGTGATGTAGAGACGACTAGTGATATTTTATCAATTTTAAGGTATGTGAGGAAAAAAATTGAGAAAAACTTTACAGAAAATTATTATTGAGTTTCTAATTGAATTAGTTATTTCACAAATTTCTTTAAAATTGAACGTTCAAAGGAAATTAAAAAGAAATTGAATGGATGATAAAGAACCTTGATATTTTCATCTAAATATAGTTCCCAAGATATTTGCAAAGTAATTCCTGTATAATTCTTCATAAAGTTAGTCAAATTATGCGAAAAATTCAACTCTGAAGGCCTTGAATCACTTTAATTATCAGAATAATGGCCTTCTCCTGGACAAGAATGGCTTGATCCAAGTACTTTGACTATTTTTTCTCCAGTGAAATGCTTTTCCACATTTGCAGTCGAACATCGAAGCTTTCACTTCAGCCCCATTTGACGCTAAGTTTCCGGACATTTTTTAAACTTTGCAGGTCTAAATTTGAATCTCGGTATTGAACCATTAGAAAACATTTTTTAAATCTGAAAAAAAAATGAGAAAGTTTACTTTTGGAGAAAGATTAATAAAATACCTTAAAAAGTGCAATTTTCGAAAATTACGAGAATTTTCTACAAATAATTTATAAACAATCAATTTCCCACCAGAAAAATCATTTGTTCGAAATCATAACAAATTTATTCATATTCAAAATTTTACCAGAAATCGATTTCATGCCTAGAAAAATTATGTTTCCAAAAGTTTAAACAATTTCAATTATTCGTTTACAAATAATGAATGTTTAAAACAATAATAATTCCATACAAAATGTAATGATTGAATGTATCAACAAATTTGATGATTGAAAATGGCTGAATCTATAGTGTGGTCTGTACCAAACTATAAAAGATACTTGGATATCCTTAAAATGTATGATATATCCCAAACCTATGGATATCTACTGAGGTTCAATATTCCATCGCCGAAAAATTCTCACTTAAACCCCTTTAAACTTTATTCCAGACGAATGTCCCCAAATTGTCCAATCAAAATGAATGATCCATCCACCTCAATACCTAACCCCCCAATTCCTTTTCAGATACAGCCCGAGACCAAAAGAATACATAATAGAATTCGACACATCGCCCACGGGGGCCCTCCAGTCCGCCCTCCAAACGGTGGCGCTGGACGCGATGACCTTCCTAGACGACCACAGATACGACCCCACCGAGATCTACCAGGACGAGTTCCTCGAGGACATCCAGAAGATCCCAGACCCAACGGAGAAGCCCCAAGAGATGCTCCAGGACTTCCTGACAATCCTAGAGACCCTGGGTCCCTGGTGTGCCGACCGTGCCGCCCTCTCCCTGCTCACCCTCTCCGAGAAACTAAAGATAAAAACCCCCTACGAGCGTCACTACCTCCTCCTCAACCTCGTCGGCTCCGTGATGATAAAGATCCGTGCCCTCTGCGACCTCGAGTTCTCCTCGATACCCGAGAAGACCCGAGTCTACACCTACTCAACATCAAAAGTCCACCGCCTCCTGGGTGCCCTGAAGACGTACGCCCCCCTGTACAAAAAGTCCTCCGACAGTCCCGAGAAAATACCCCGAAGAAACAATCGTCTCCAGGAGACAATCACTTCCAAGCCCAATCACTCCCAGTCGAGCTCCCACCCTGAGGAGCCCAACGTCCCCAACAAACGAGGCAGATACCAGAGGACCTTCCGAGGCATGACAGACCCAGACGTCCTCTGCGGGGTGATCTTCGTGGACAAAAGTTTCACAGCAAAAATACTCTTCTACCTCCTGAACGAAGTCTCAAAACACGACGAAGACCTGAGCTTCCTGTCGCCCCTGTACACAATCGAGAAGAACACCGACGACTCGAGTTACTCACGAGACCCTGAGGCGGAGCACAAGAAGCAGGAGGAGGTGCTAAAGCGCTTCAGAATCCACGAATGCAATCTCCTGGTGGCGACAGCTGTCCTGGAGGAAGGAATAGAGATTCCAAAATGCAACTTTGTGATGAGATACGACTTCCCCAGGACGTACCGATCCTACGTGCAATGCAAGAGCCGAGCCAGGGCGACAGACGCCCTCCACATACTACTGATATCGAACACAAGTGCTGGGGAGTCAATCTGGCAGCTGGCGCAGTACCACTACATCGAGAAAATTCTCCTGGAGAAGTGCACGAACGAGGAGCCCAGGGAGGACGACGAGAGCGAGGCTGACAAGTACTCCTCGATGATCCCATGTTACCAGCCACTGAAGAGTGAAAATGGCCCTCTGGTTACGTTTAACTCTGCGATATCCCTGGTGAACAGATACTGCGCTAAACTCCCCAGTGACACGTTCACGAGGCTGACACCAGAGTGGTCGATAATTGAATTGAAATTGAAGGAGGGGACGATGTACTCGTGCTCCCTGAGGCTTCCCATAAACTCCCCCTTGAAATACGTGATAACCTCCCACCCAATGCCCAATAAAGCGATGGCCAGGAGACTGGCAGCCCTGCAGATGTGCATTAATCTCCACAAAGAGAACGAGATAGACGACAATTTACTGCCAATTGGAAAGGAGAACTTCAAAGCGAGACCTGAGGACGTGGAGGTGCCAGCACTGCCCGACGAAATCAGGTCTGAGTACTCGGAGGCTCGACCTGGCACCACAAAACGTCGTCAGTACTACTACAAGAAGACTGCTGAGGCTCTCACCGACTGCAGACCGACTGTTGGAGTCCCCTCGTACCTCTACCACATCAAGATGATCCTCAGTTGTCCTCTGCCTGAGGAGCAGAACACCAGGGGCAGGCGGATATACCCCCCAGAGGAGTCAGACATTGGCTTCGGGATTCTCACGCTGAAGAAGATCCCCAAGCTCAGTCCTTTCCCCATTTACACTCGTTCTGGCGAGGTCCAGGTGGAGCTGAAGCTCAGCAAAAACACTGTTGTCTTGGACTCCATTCAGATTGAACGGGTCTCGACGTTCCTCAACTACTCATTCACGAATGTCCTCAAGCTGCAGAAGTACCTCATGATCTTCGATCCGAACGCCTCCGAGAACTCCTACCTCATAGTTCCTGTTGTCAAGGGTAAGTCGAAGGGGGTGGAGGACATAAACGTCGACTGGAACTTCCTCCAGCTGATCTACGAGAACAGGAACACGATTCCGAGTGAAGTTGGGGAGAAGGAGAGGGAGAATTTTCAGTTCGACGCCTCCAGGTACAACGACGCTGTGATAATGCCCTGGTACAGGAACCAGGACCAGCCCCAGTACTTCTACGTTGCTGAGATATGCAGGAATTTGAGCCCCAAATCGTCGTTCCCTGGGGATGGCTACAGCACCTTTGAGGAGTACTACTCAAAAAAATATGGCATCAAGATTCAGAACAGGGATCAGCCGCTTCTCGACGTGGACCACACGTCAGCCAGACTGAATTTCCTGACCCCCAGGTATGTGAACAGAAAGGGAGTGGCTCTGCCCACCAGCAGTGAAGAGACCAAAAGAGCTAAACGAGAGAATCTCGAGCAGAAGCAGATCCTGGTGGCTGAACTCTGCGCCATCCACCCATTCCCAGCTTCTTTGTGGAGGCAGGCTGTCTGCCTGCCTTGCATACTATACAGAATAAACGCTCTGCTGCTGGCGAATCAGATAAGGTGCCAAGTGGCCCAGATGATGAACCTGGGACTGCAGCATCTCTCCGAGGATTTCGAGTGGCCACCCCTGAATTTCGGTTGGAGCCTTGCCGAGGTCTTGAAGAAGTCCAAGGAGGTGAAGAAGGTCGAACCTGAGGAGCCTAGAGAGCCCCGTAAATCCCCAACACCTGAGATCATCGAGAGGAGACCCATGAGGATGATCATCGAGGATGTGACAGATCTCCTTGAGGACGAGGACGGAGATGCTGATAAACTGGAGATTGGAACGTGGTCCAATGACATGGCTGTGGAGTCCATGTGCATGGATTACGAGGCAATGTCCAACAATGTCACTGTTCTCCCACCCCAGTTTGGGTGGAACAGTGATGGGAATGGGGTCAGGTGCGGCTCCCCCACGTTCGATCAGTCAGACACTTATGGGTATTACTCTGATGACTCGTACAGTGACGATGGGTTCGTCGAGTCTTCCGAGGATAGCGAGGACGAGAAGAATCGAGGGATCAGGATATCGTACACTGGGGAAAATACTGCGGAAGCTGTTGAGGACGAATCCAAGCTCAAGAAGATTAATATCAATAAGAAGATCTTGACTTTGTTCAATGACTCTGAGAGAAAACTCTATAACTCGAGGTTTTTGTTTAAATCCGGGGAAAATGACAGCTGTGATGAGTCTCTGTTTGCTGAGCACAAGAGGCTGCACTTCGATTACGCTAGGAAACGTGAGGCTGAGATTATTGTCGATGGTTCGTTCATCAAAAGTGATAGAGAAATAGTATTTAATCATGGCCAGAAGGGCCTGAAGGCGTCGGGTGCTGATGATTTAGGGTTTAATTCGACGTTGGAGCACTGTGAGCATGTGAGGAGAGTGGCTGAGGAGATTACGAGGGAGATTGAGAGGGAGAAATTGGCCGGTGATTCGTTTTATTTTAAAAGTCAGGGTAATAGTAACAACATTCCAACACCTGGGTTGTATGACGCGGTGGAGGTGAACTTTAGCTTTGATTATCAGCCGGAACTCAGGGGACATCCGGGGCCAAGTCCTAGTCTTATTCTTCAGGCTCTTACCATGTCCAATGCCAATGATGGGATCAATCTGGAGAGGCTGGAGACCATTGGGGATTCTTTTCTTAAATATGCCATTACTACGTATTTGTACTGTACGTATCCGGTGATTCATGAGGGGAAGCTCAGCCATTTGAGATCGAAGCAGGTGAGAATTTTTTTTTTTTCATTTTGTGGGCCATTATACATGTTATCGTCACGTTTTGTTCTCTTGTTTTGGATTATTTTTGGCTAAACGGTGAATTTTCACATTCTTTGCCATTTTATTGCTTTATTCTGTTAGATGAAACCATACGGAACTTGAAATAAATTGTAAATAATCGTTATTGAATGGGATCGATTTCCTTTTTGGAAGACAATTCTTCAATTCTCTAATTCCAAAGAAGTCTAATTCATTAATCAAAACAAAATGTCAAAAGTCCATTTTTATAAAACACTTTTGACTTTTTTAAAATGTCAGTAATCCACTTAATTACTGATATAATAGCATTTTATTAAATAAACAAGAGATTTTTTCATTTTGTAAGAGTCTATATTGAATTCATCGAATTATTACAGAATGATTTTTTTTTTCAAAATTTTTGAATCGACTTCTAAGATGACCAAACGCATTTTTCACTTCGCTACTGAATTCCTTTTATATAATTAAATATTCTTCAATATCACACTCTATCCGCCGAATAACTCTGGAATCCTCCAAACCAATTCTCCTCACCTTTCAGGTCAGCAATTTAAACCTGTACCGCCTGGGGCGTCGAAAAATGCTAGGCGAGAGTATGATAGCCACAAAATTCGAGCCGCACGACAACTGGCTGCCGCCGTGCTACTACGTTCCCCGTGAGCTCGAGCAGGTGTTCATAGAGTCCGGAGTGCCCTCGAGCCTCTGGAACCAGGCTCAAGACCTCCACTCCCTGCAGCCAACCCTCGACATAAGTGAGATCACACAACTAATTCGCGACACTGAGTACAAACTGAGAATACTGAGAATGGAGCTGGATAAGAACGAGAATCGTCTCACAGAGGACCCGCAGATCCCCGACACCCAGCACTGCTCGATCCCCTACAACTTGATCACCCAGCACAGTATCCCAGACAAGAGCATAGCTGACTGTGTGGAGGCCCTGATAGGGGCTTACTTGATAGCCTGTGGGCCCAGAGGAGCCCTGCTCTTCATGGCCTGGCTGGGAATCCACGTTCTACCAACACTAGAGGTCACTCTAGTCCAGGAGAATGAGCCATTGGATCACCACCCAGGTAGCACGCCCTACGTCAGGAGCATGGACCCCTCTGGGAGGACAACGTGGTCCCAAACTCGATATGGAAAGCTCGAGGAGCCCAGGAACCCCCTCCTCAGGCACGTGCCAGACCCAGAGAACGAGCTGTCCCTGATGCTGGATGGCTACGACAAACTCGAAGAGAGCATTCACTACAAGTTCAAGGACGCCAGCTACCTCCTCCAGGCCTTCACCCACGCATCATATCAACCCAACAGGCTGACTGACTGTTATCAACGTCTGGAGTTCCTCGGGGACGCAGTACTGGACTACCTGATCACCAGGCATCTCTACGAGGACACGAGGCAGCACTCCCCAGGGGCCCTGACCGATTTGAGGTCTGCCCTGGTGAACAACACGATCTTTGCTTCACTCGCTGTGAGGTGCGGCTTCCACAGGTACTTCAGGCATCTCTCCCCGGGTCTCAACGTCGTTATAGACAGATTCGTGAGGATTCAGGAGGAGAATGGCCATTCCATCAGTGAGGAGTATTATTTAATTGGGGACGAGGAGGCTGAAGAGGCTGAGGATGTCGAGGTGCCCAAGGCTCTTGGGGATGTCTTCGAGTCTCTGGCTGGTGCTATTTATCTCGACAGTGGAATGTCCCTGGATGCTGTCTGGAGTGTCTACTACAGAATTATGAAGACTGAGATTGAACAGTTCAGTACTAATGTGCCCAAATCACCGATTCGTGAGCTTCTCGAGCTTGAGCCGGAGACTGCTAAATTCGGAAAGCCTGAGAAGCTCGCTGATGGACGCAGAGTGAGGGTCACTGTCGATGTCTTTGGGAAAGGATCCTTCAAGGGCATCGGGAGAAACTACAGGATAGCCAAGTGTACTGCTGCTAAGTGTGCTCTTAAGAAACTCAAGAAAATGCAATCATCTTCCCAAAGACAAAAAATTTGATACATCTAGGTTATTTTTTAATGGAACATTTGAATGAATCGTGAATTTTGTAACTTGAGATTACTTTTCTATTTCTTTGCTCCTGCCTGGTCTTTTCATTAGTTGGAAAGTATTACATATTTTCTCGGTTTATTCGGGAATCAATACGTATTGGAGTGTATAAAAAAATTACAATGAGTGAGAAATTGTTTACAATACAGGTTTTGTTTATATCGCTTCTTTTGTTTTTCTTTCGTCAGCAGTCTGGTAGTGGTAATTTTTGCAAAATTTATAATTTATTAATCTACGTTGTCTTGGAATATTAGTCTCACGTAGCCGGGGGTCCCTTCGAGGGGCACTGCGCAGAAGGGGCAGATTGCTATGTAGCCGTTTGTACCATGAGGAATTGCAACTTTTTCCCAGTATCTGGAAGACGAAAGATCAAAATAATTAGTGAATTATATTGTGTGGCGAAGTGATGGAAAATGAAACCACATTCCCATACTGATTTTTTTGTAAATATCTTTGAAACTAGTGCATTAAAAAGTCCTGTGACATTTTATCAAATATTCCTTTTTTGAGGATATTTCGACGTTTCCTAATAACGCAGGAGTATTTCCATTTTATTAGGAAACGCATCAGTTTATAAGTCTCATCGCGTTCGCATATCATTTTATTTCTTTTCCAATGTGAACCACTTCACGTTATTTGTACTTCTTGATGCATTCATACCATTCATTCAGTTGTCAAGAGAATGAAAACGTGCGATTTCAGACAGTTTTTCATATAAATTTTGAGATACCCTTGTCTTCAAAATAAAATAAAAATTCTCTCGTTTTACTAGGGAAAATTTGAAATTAAGTTGATTCCAGTGTAATTAAGAATGAAATGAAAATACAAACTTGACAGTTTTTTCTGTTGCCATATGGCCACAAGGGTTGAAGGCATACGTTGGAGGGCCTCGATCCACGTAAAATGCAGGCTCAATCCCCATACAGAGTTTGACAATTGGTCCAGCTACCAAACACATTGGACATCGTCTCGTTGCCTTGTCCTTCTCCTGTCCCCAATCATGATAACCTTGAACATGTCCACACTTGAGATAAACGTATGGCTGTTGTTGGGCCGAGTCTGACACTGGTTTTCTCGGTATAACTAGGGTATTCAGGCCCACTGGACACTGGGGGCGTCCTGCATTTATTGCATCTACCAATTCCTCTAAATCGTGTTTCGTCTGAAGAGCAAAAAAAAATCAGAATTAAATTTAAAAAAAAATATTGGGGTGAGAAAGACAGTCCCGAGGGGTTGTGGACTCACTGGAGACTTGGCTAGACCCTCAGCAGATCGCCAGAGGAGAGTGGCTCCACACAAATCGATCAATGTGCCATCCTGCAACACATTGTCCTCTTCCTCGACAACGTTACCCTTCTGCTGTGCACTTCGACTCTCCCTGAGGGAAAACACCCCTCCGCCGACACTTATCTCACGCCAAGAGCCACACTGGGCCTCACCCCCACAAAATTGACCTCGTGGGTGCATTATCAGAATGCCATTTGTTGTTAGACCGTCAATTTCCCTATTCTCTTGCCATTTTGTTGCTTTCTCCTATCACACAAAAACATGGAGAACTTAAAACAATTTATAAAGCAGCGTTTATCGAATGAGAATTCGATTTTTGGAAGACATTGATTGGGTTTGAAGTAGTTAATCTCATCACAGAGAAATCACAGTTGACATATCTCTCTGAATTATGCAATTATCTTGAGAATGAGTCATTGTGTGACAAAATTCCATGAGTTCTCTTTTATCGAGTACTGTCGAGGTTTATTCATACTGATAAATCACTGAATTGTTGATGCAATGGCATATTTAAAAAAATTAAAAGTACATTTCCTCACTATGAGACTAGACTGAGCCCCATTGATCAACTCATTGATAAATATTCAAAAGATTGTCAATTTTATTTCCTTTTCACATAATAATATTCAATAATCCTTGCAATTAGTTTCAATGGCTGACCCTTAACGATATTTCAAGCCAATTTCACATTCGATTCCATTTTCGAAAGACAATAATTGTTTTAAAGTCGTTAAACTCATCAAGTTGACATACCTCTAAAAATTATGCAACTTGTTTTATGAAAATAAACTTCAAACTCTTTGAATGTTGATAACTGATTGTAAAAATTGTTAATTTCATTCCTTTATCACATAATATTACTCAGTAATAAATGTCAGTGACTCACCCCTAAAAAAATATTTCTGGAGCTATCAAAACCAGCAGCATAAATTCTCGTAATCTTCGGATTATGTCTATCAGTCAATATACGACAAGCAAATCTACTTATTGTACTTTGAGCCATGCGACTCTCATTACCAGGGCCATTCTCACTCGCTGGATAAGTGTCCATGACGACAAAATCAATTGGCGGCTCCGATGACCGGCCAATCTGTCAGCAAACAATCGATAAAGAATGTTCAACACCGAGGGTCATAAACAAAATTGTAAAAACGTTAAACACGATAAGGAATAATCGTTAAAATCGTTGAAGGTGATTGACTCACTTGAAACATATCAGTACTGTCATCCTCAGTGTACTCAACAATGACAGCCTGTGTTCTCGATAATGTATACGATATTGAGTGCTGCTTTGCATTCAAAACAGCCTGGGAGTTGTGAGGAGTTTTAACGACATAATGTTTACTCCTCTTTACCCCGTTTGGAGTTGGTCTTTTGTATAATACGAATTTACTTCTACGACGACCACGATCACCAGGTGGAAGAAATCCATTGTATCTGGAATCAAATCAAATGAACAATAAATAATGAAATTTATTAGTTATGAATGAATTTGTTATTAATTCTGCAGTGGCGAAACCTAATATTCCAAAATTTACTTTTTTATTACGTTTCAATTTATTTTGAGATGAGTGTCTCATTTTTAAAACTCCCTTTTACCGTATCTAAAAACTCAAATGCTATTTTTCTATTTTGTGCATTTATATAGAAAACAGATAATTCCAAATGAAAATATCATAAAACCCTTTTTGTAACTTGGAAAATTCCCAACAAAAAGATCGTTTGACATTTTCTATTCTACGAAATTAAAAAAAAAAACGTAAATGACGTTTTCCCACTTCAACATTCCTATTCCGTTGATTTACAAAAAAGAACGAGTGATTCTATGAGAAAATATCACAAAACTGTTGTTGTATCTGAAGAATTTTCCAGCAGAAATATCTCTCGACTTTTCCTATTCACCAAAAATCAACGTAAATATTACATTTTTCATGAAACTGAAACCAGCAAAAAATTCGTCAGCGGTAAATTCGACGTGGGTAAACCCAGAGGTGTTCAAACATTTTTCAGTCATGACCAAACTCATCTGAATTTGAAAAAAAATGCTCACATTATTGTTTGACACTTGAAGCCCCCAAAATCTCGTAAATTATATTTTCGACAAATCTCACAAGTAATAAAAAAAATCTCTCCTCACCCTAGAATAACGAGCTCCCCATACTTAGTAAGACTCTTCGACTTCTCATGATTATGATGGCTATTGCTCCCATGAGATGTATTGACATAAGGACGACTGTGATTATGTTTCGCAGTAGGACTGTGGGGCTGATCAACGGTATCCGATGATTGTTCCACAAGGATTGGACTTTCAGTGCCATCACCGTCAGATCTACAAACCCCAAAACCCAAATAAACACCTCGCCACCTCCCACAGAAATCCCCCATCCAAATACTCACCGAATAACCATCCTGCGATTATCCCAAATCCTCACGTCAAAAACCAATAAAGACCCGTCTAAATTGCTCACCCCCAACTCATAGAACTAAACCCCAATAAATAAATTAATAAAACCCTCACGAGGTGCTTCAAGTCCACCAGAACTCCAAAATCTTGTAATCAGCCTTACGTTTCGATAATTAATAACTCCCCCTCGATTCGTACGAATTCACTTCCTCACCGCAGTAAACACTGATAAAACAGGCATTCCATCTTCACGCACATCACAAAAATGAGTTAACGATTGCATGTTATCGAGTGAATATTATCCGCAACACATACGTATACATTCTTCTCTTATTGAATTACTCCCTGACAACAACACGACACGTACTTATCACGAGCGAAGAAGACTTGCGGAAATTAAATACAGTATTCAGTCCTTACGATGCAGAAAAAAAAGGCTAGAGAATAATTCACTCCTAATGATATTGTTTAATTCGTTTTTAATTGTAACTCGACTTGTTATTGTCCCCGAGATTAATTACTGGATGATTTTAATAGTTTGACAACAATGCACACACACAAGCCAGACCAGTCTCAAACCAAACAAATCATTTAGACATAGTCTGTGTATCTGACACATTTTTATTCATCCAGTGTCCTTTGGCCTTCAATGAGCCCCTGTTTACGGACGGGTACAGCCGCACTCGCGTTGATGACTTTTTTATGAATTGTGTCGACCCCAGGGGTTGGACGACGACACTCAATAGTCGACGATGTAATTCAGGGAATGCTTGGAACCGACACACACCATTACACAATGCATCACCTTTTTTCTCGATTTTTCGGGGCCAGGGTGAATGGCGTTAATTGTCATATGACCGTTAGTTTACCTCTGATTGTTCAGCACTTGGGTTTAGCTTTGTTTAGGTGGGCTTTGATGAGTTTTCGGGGATTATTGGGGGCTTGGGGGACTCTGGGAGTATTGTTTAGGGGTATTTATATTGTCGTTTTGTGACAGCGGAAAAAAAAGGAATATCGATAGTCAATACTGCCATGTTTTCCTCCCTCTCGCTTCCTCATTCTCGTTTGTGTCGGCGTTCAGGGGGCATTGGGGAGTGAAGTCAGCTGCGCGCGGCTAGAGCGCGCCGGCGGAGTTTATTTGAGATGGAACTCGGAGAAATTTGGACAACGGATTTCGAGATTTTATGTGCTTCGAGGATTTTTATATGGTTTTCTTTGGGAATTGCAAGAGGTTTTACGGAATATTTAGAAGGCTTCAAGGGTTCAAAGGCATTTTAGGGTGATTTATAGAATTTCAAAGGATTTCAAAAACACTTAAAGTTCAGGAAATTTCTCTCTGATTTTTTTAAAGTACAAATTAATTCAGCTCTACCGAAAATTCGGAAGAGTTCACAGATTTTGTGAATTTTTCCTCAAAGTTTCTAGAATTTCATGAAATTTTATGGTACTTAAGATATTTCATAGGATTAGAATACAATCAAACATCTTCATAATCCAAAGTTTGATAATGTTTTGAAATGTTTTAATATTTTAGTATTGAAAAGAGTGAAATGTTTAAATGTTTTTTAGAATTGCAAGAGATTTTATAAAATATTTTCAAATCTCCAAAATTTTAAGGCATTTTAGAAAATTGTCTAAAATTTCAGACCCTCAAAGTTCAGAATTAAATTTCAATAAAATTCTCTCTCATGAGCTTAAAGTTCAAATGACTTCAGCTTTTCCGGAATTACGAAAGATTTCCCAGAATTCTTGAAGTTCTTTCCAGTTTCTGAAATTTCCTGAAATTCCACTTTATTTCAGTCATTTCACAGGACTAGAATAAAATCAAATATCTTAATATTCTAAAATTTGATATTTTGAAATACTTCAAAACTTTATTATCGAAACGAGTGAGAATTCATACAAAATAGACGACGATCTCATAAATTTCAAAATTATTCTGAATTGTTACACTCTCCTAAAATATTCACGATCAACCGGCCGAATTCCGAAAATGCTGGGAATATTTTCCTTATCCACAGCGGTTTCAACTCTTTTTTTGTACACACCTAAAAGCCATTGCATTCACGTAAAAATAATAACGAAGAAAGGCGCTCCATAGCGCAGTTCGCAAACGTAAACTTGAAGTTGTCGGAGTACTCCCCCCATTGGCTCCCGCTCCACCACGTGATCATTTCTGTCATGTTCTGCTCATGTCAACATCCCAGTCCTATTATTTTCCCCTTTTTCTTATTTAATAAGTCCCAATTAACACGACCAAACCGTAATTTTTCACTCAGTGTTCACTCTGTCGTCTTCAACTGAATAATTGGAATGAAAATAACTTCATTAATGTTCCATTCACCGACCGAACAATTGAGGTGCAATAAAAAGTACGTATTGTTGATAATCAGTGGATTGTTGATTCGACTGTCCACCTGTCACCTATTTTCTCTGATTTACCCCGTTTATTTTTTGTTTAGTCTGACGCATGATTGTTTGGTAGTTGTTTGTTGATGAAAAATGTCCAACTCTGACACTGGTGAGGGTTGCATCAGTGAGGTTACACTGGCTATTAGTAAAGCAAGGGGTTCTCACAATCAGGCAGGTGCCAGGAGAATACTCGATAGTCCAGACTCCGATGAATCTGGCAGATCCCAATCATTCACTGTGCAGAGTTATGATTACACAGATAATGGATCACCAAATAATAATCTTGGGCTTCCTGATGGGGTTTCCACTCCTGTCACCCCCGATGACCTGAGAATACCCATTGTTGGGTATGAAGTCATGGAGGAACGAGCTAGATTTACAGTGAGTGGTGGAAATTTCATAGAATTTATGGAATTCTTGTACGCCTTTAAATTATCTCGATAAAGAGTCGGTTTAGAAAAAAATGTCACAAGGTATTTTTTGTAGAGAGTTTCATGGGCTACAAAAAATGTCTTTGATGTTTTCCTCTAATGTTGCTTGTTTTCGAAATAAATGTGCAATTAGTAAAAATGAACGAATGTTTAGGATGTTTTAAATTGTTGATTCTTGTTAATGACGTGCGGATTTAATGAGAAAGGTGATTAGATCTTTTTTGTTAAGAATTTTATCAGCTAAAAAATCTTCATTTTTTCCTTTTAAACCATTTGTTTTTTAGATATAGAAATGCGAATTAATAAGAATTAATTGATAGAGAAGATAGTTTTTTACATTCTATTAATTAATTTAATTCTATTCATTTATCTGATAATTTGAATTTAGCGAGAAAGGTCATCTAATATTTTTTCTAGAGAATTTCATCAATTGCAAAAAATGTCTTTCGATGTTGTTTTAAAAAAAATAAATTAATACCTACATCGAGTCGATTTTGTAAATTCTTCATTCGTCTTAATAACGAGTGAATTTAGAAGGAAACATACAGAAACTCCTGCCACAGAGAATTGTTTTTTAATTCTCATCCAAACTCATTCGTCATCAAGGTAACTCCACGTTCAACAAAAATGTCATGTTACGTAATTCTACTGTTTCAGGTGTATAAACTGCGAGTCGAGTTGAAAAACGGCGATTGCTGGTTCGTCTTCCGCAGATACACGGACTTTGTACGATTATTATCGCAATTACGAAGGCAGAAACTCCCAATAGCCCATTTATCTTTACCCCGAAAGAAATGGATTGGAGACAACTTTGCACCGAGTTTCCTCGAGGAGAGGATTCGAGGACTCCAGGTGTTTGTTAATAATCTTCTTGGGACTGCAGTACTGATCAGCAACAAGAGTGTTCGAGAGTTTTTCTGTCTCGATGAGCCACCAGCGTTGTCTGACACTGCTGAGGAAGCACGTGTAAGAGTTCATTCCATTAAAAATTAAAATAACGAATAATTAACGTTCCTTGATCGATAAAAAGATATTTCATTGGTTTTGTTGACCCCCTAGGCAATTTTTGAGGCTCTAGAGGACACAATTTATCACTTGAGGCAGCAACTGAGGGAGAGGGATGCAGCATTGGCAGCTGAACGCAATATTTCCAATGAACTTAGAAACAAACTCCATCGAATAATGACGTGAGTCTGCATTATTTGCACTTAACTAATTCTTAAATGATGAAATAATTTTTTTCATCCCCTTTATGTGCACAGTGAGAAGCAGCAGTGTTCAAAATGCGGTGCCTTGGACAATCTCTGAGTGAAAAATATTTTCTTGAGAAAGAAAATGTCATTGATATTATATAGAAAAGACTCAATTATATTTTTACAAACATCACATTTCGTACTTCGAGCTGGCAAACGGCATTCACATTCACATTCTTCTATATATATATACAAAAATTATAGTATCTGATACATATCTCCGTTATTGTTGTAAACAAGGTGTTGCGTAATTTTGATAAAAAATTGTTTAAACTTATTTATAGTTCTAGTTGATATTTTCCTATCATTAAAATTATCATCAGTCTTCGTTTACCGATTCTGGAGCTACGACGAGGCACAGAATCTGAGTGATGTATGTGAATTTACCTGAAAAAAGATCATTATTTGATTTTTATCCATTCACATAAGTTTACACGTTTTACAGATTGAATGTTATAATTTTTTTAAAATTTAAGTGATAACTGCATTTTAATTTTCGATGCTGTGAATTTAAATTCAATTTAACATCCAGTTGTTTATGGAATTCCTTATTTATCTTGGGAATAAATCAAAATTGAATTCTCTATTTCAAGTGATGATTGATATTTTAATCACAGGTTGAATCCTCAAACTCATTGTGATAATTAAATATCCAATAGATTGAACATTGAAAACAATAGAAACATGAATATTCACTGCCAAATTACGCTGAATTCTCAATAAACAAAAAATTCCAGAATATATCGATCAAAATTTTTCATTTTTATCAAGTTTCATAGAATAATCGAACTGAAAGTCACAGTTTGCATTGATTTTCCCTAAAATTTTGAATAGCATAGTAATTTCCAAAAACTTCAAGATTTTAATTTAAAATGTCACCAGCAATTTTCTCACACTCCACAAAGACATAGGCTAAATAAAACCTTTGACTTTTCTCATGTCCAGAACTCAGTAACAAATCCCTCAATAAAACCCAATCAAACTGAGCAATAAACCCAAAAAGTTCATTTTAACAAATGAAATTGAGTCAAAAGTCCCTCTTTAAAAAATTCCACAAAGTAAACTCACGTGTAATCCGACTGCTCCTCTTCTTAAAAACATACGAGTGATAGATCGCGACTCCGGCGAGAATGAACAGCAGCGCAAAAAGATACTTCCACGAGGGTTCGGCCACAATAGGCACAACGGCAAGGAACACCGCGAGCAGTAGAACAAGCCAAACGATGACAGTGGGCACCCTGTAGGGTCTGTTAGCCTCGGGTTTGCTCCTCCTCATGATGAGAAGTGCGCCCATGGCAAGTCCATAAAATATCCAGATCAAGAACGTAGCGAATTCAATGAGGGTCGTGATATCCCCAGCAAGAACACAAGCAAAAGCGAGGAATCCCTGAAAAACGACTGCAGCGGCAGGAGTCATCTTGGTGACGTGAATGAAACTAAAAACCCTGGGGACGTGTCCCTCGCGCCCCGCCACGTAGCAGAGCCTGGAGACGCTAAACTGCAGGCTCAGAGCACACCCGAAGGTGGAGATGGCGACTCCAAGGGGGATGGTCACCCCCAGCCACCCGGGGAGGACCCTTTCAGCCCACGAAACCGCCACAGCTGGGGCTTCTATCATTTCGGGGATGGACAGGGCAGACATGTACATCAGATTCATGGAGACGTAGAGAACTGTGATGATGGGAACGGCGATGGCAATGCTCCTGAGAATGGGGATGCAAAGTGACGGTTATTTTTTACATGCGGCAAGTCAAACATTTTCTTCAAGAATTTTTCCGGAAATTTGAATAAATCCATGAATAACCCGAACCGGAAATCGAAAATTTAGTGAATATTACCTCAGTATGAAATTGGAAGATTGGAAAAAAATCAGAAAAGTTTCGTAGGACTTTTTCTTAATTATCATTATCACTAAATCTGTAAAATTCAATTCCGGGAAAACATTCACATTTTGATAATCTGAAATGATCCCCAATTGCTACTCAGATTTGCATAGCCCTGGAGTCAAAGAGCGTTTTTGAATAATATTGGGAAATAAAGCCAATAGGGAGAAAATTGGAAATGAATAATTTGATGTATCCGAAGGCTGTTAGGTCTTCACACACGGAGAAAAATTCCCAGTAATTGTCCTTCGCTCAGTGACATGTAATTTCCTTTTAAAATGACGGTAGATTGACCGGTCAGCGTTGTCCGTTACATTCCTACCTGAGAATGTTCACCTCGGGCCTCTTGACCTCCTCTGTGACAACAGCTGCTGAGGACCAGCCGTCATAGGCCCAGAGGCCGCTGTAGAACGCCAGGGCGATGTCCCCAGGGGAGTTGGTTGTCCCTTTGAAGGGCTCCTTCAGGAGTTCTGTGTTCCCCATCGCCAGCCAGTAAACCCCTCCTCCTATGACGATGAGGCAAGCTAGGACTTTGCACACCACGAAGACGTTCTGGACCTTCACGAAGAGCTTGACACTCGTCAGGTTGATGTAGGTGATGAGTCCCAGGGCGAGGAGAGCGATGAGTTTCTTGACGGTGCTCATGGTCTCCGGAGTGATGCCTTTCGGGAGCATCTCGTGGAAGGGCTGGATGCTGTACTCAGCGAAGGTCAGGATTATCACGGCCACTTCAGCCGGCCTCAGGATGACGACGTAGACCCACGAGCAGATGAACGCCGGTAAATTCCCGAAGTAGCGGTGCAGGGGGCCGTAGGCCTCGATGAAGTAGGCGTATTCTGCCCCAGAACGGGGCACCACTGTGCTCAGCTCGGCGAAGACTAGGGCGCCGAGGAGAGAGAGGATTCCAGAGGATGTCCAGACTATCAGGCAGAACCCCACGGAACCTGAACGCTCCAGGGCACTCGTCGGGGAAACGAATATTCCGGAACCTTCGGACAAGTTCGGACGGTTAAAGGAGTTCTACGATTAATTTAAAGTCGAGTCGATTCGGAATTGTAAGTTTTTTTAAGGATATGTATCCAAAATCGCAAGTACTTGAAAAATTTTTTTTTTTTTAAACTGGGAGATGAAGATATTCCCGTGATTTTGATACTAACTTCAATGCACCAACCCATGTTCATTATTTAGAAATGAAATAGACACAATGCAACACATGCATGCGCTAAAATGCGCTTATAGGGGATTGAATCATTCAAATATTTCCTCTTCTTGCTCGGGTACCCTAAATTTTACCGACAATTTACCGACAATAGCTAAACATCCTTAAGTTAATGATCCTTTTGGTTTTTTAAGGAAGAATGTTGAAATAATTTTAAAATGGGTTTAACCCGTATATCAGAATCAAAATTTTCACTGACAATTAATTTCTTCCTTTTTTTTAGACATCTGCCCCTAATGTTTAGGTGTTTAAATAATTACGAATAACAACTGCGACACTTTAACCGCAGATTGTTCACCCTACAATTGACTGGCTAACCGAACAAATTGAAAAAAAAATTGACTTTGTCAATTCAAGGGGCTAATAAATTATGGTAGTTTTTAGAACAACATATTTCCCCAAAATTCCTAAAGAAAACGAATTATTTCGAAGAGATGAATTATTTTTTCCCATGTTAAATGAAACTGCCGGTGACGCGACGTTGCCGGAAACTCGCTAAACGCGCCCGGGCAGTGTAGAGCGAATTCGGCAACGCTACAGCCTAAAAACACGGCGGGGAATCCCCGCGGAGGTGACCAATCGCAGGGTCGCGTTTGGTGACCAGACTACGGGGTAAATATTATCAAGCTGAGTGAAATCTGGCCTCTCCGGGTACGACTAAAGGCTAAAATGCAATTTTTTTTTCAGTAAATGTGGAAAAGTGGATACATTTATTGACACCTCAGACAATGATCACCCGTCTTGTAAGCAAATTCCATTATTTATTTGTGAGAAGAAAATTAGAAAAAAATTATTCAAATAAATTTGTTTATGAAATAAATGGAATAATTGAATTTTACAAAATATAATACGGATAATTATAATTGGGTGTGAAATTTGTCTCCTGGAATCTAGTTGGAGTATTGAAGAAATGAAAATATCTAAATCCATAGCGCAGCGCGTCGAAGAGGTAGAGCGACTTTAATTTGGTTCTATTGAGTTTTGAATCATCAATGAATAGTAGGGCAAGGAGATGGGTAGGTTACTGGGCGAGATAAGGGGTCATTATCTCGCCAGTTAACACGCGTGGGAAGATATGGCGAGGAGGTGGGTTTATTGAAGATTGAGATAAATTGAGGAGAACCGAAAACTTTATGATTGATTTGAACAATGCGGGGAATTTTGAAGAATTTTTTTCCCTTGCTTCAAAGGTATTTGACAAGAAATTGAAATTTCGTGGACAGTTTTGTAATAATTTTTAGGGGCGCGAGATTGAATTCGATTTAGGGCGGAAAAAATCATGAAATTTCAAATTGTTCAGCGGCAGAGAGAGATAAATTCCCCCACTAATTTGAATTTTCAATCACAACATGAATATTCGGTACAAAATTCCCCATAATTCGCAATTAAATAATAGTACGAGAGTACTTTCATCTGATTTTAAAATGCCCATTAATTTTCATTGAATATTTGAATAAAAATTCACAGTTCCCATTCATTTTTTCATCCAGTTATGAATTGTCGATAATTAAATTCCTAGAAATTTCAGTCACTTGATAATAACTTTCAAAGCAAAAACTTTATGATGAGTTTAAACAATGTACGGAATTTTAATGGATTTTTTTTCAATTGCGGTAAGTATCAAAGATACTTTACAAAAATTTGAAATTTCACGAACAGTTTGGTAGTAACTTTTGGGAGAGCGAGATTGAATTCGATTTTAGGTGACGAAAATAATGAAATTTGAAATTTTTGAGCAGCAGGAAGGAAAGATTTCCTCCCCTAATTAAAATCTTCAGTAAAAACATGAATATTCCGTGAAAAAACTACAGAATTTGAAGTTAACTAATAATACGAGAATATATTCATATGAATTTTCAAAATTTTCATCAATTTTCATTGATGTTTTCATCAAATTACGAAACCTCAATCATGAAATTCCTTGAAATTCCCGTCACTTGATAACAACTGTCACACGATGAAAATTTCCAACAAATCTCCAAAACCTTCAATCAAAAATTTTCACCAGTATAATATGATTACCCAAAAAATGATTAATTCAATTCGTAACAGTTCCATAATTTTCACAATTCCTCATCCACGTCACAGTCAACCATAATTTATTCTCTTGAATCATAAAGAAGTTGACGTACTCTAAGACTTTATAAATATTCAATCAAAATTGTGACGAAGAAAAGATAGTCAATTTCCTCATTCTCCAATAATTTTTTTCACCACCAATGATTTTATGTTACTGTTTACCTATCATAACAGCGAGAATGAAATTAACAGCGCTGAATAATCCCAGTTCTCGCTTGAGTTCGACTTTCTTCTCCGACTTTTCCGGCTTCATCTCTGCCATTTTTTTCAAATAACACAATGCAACACACCGCGCCGATCGGCCTAAACTAATTCGAATTTTTAAATATCCACCGAAAAAGTGGAAAACGAACACGAGAGAAGTCAAGTGATTTTGTAGCAGCGTAATCGCGAGGTACTGGCGGAAATTACATGAATTGTACGAAATAAAAAAATGTGCTGTTATCGGTGCCGGTCCCTGTGCGAGACTGATTCCAGATTGTTAATCCAACGGACACACGATATTCCTACCACAGTTGGTTTCAGAACGGTAGCATCAACAGAGCAACATCGCCGATAAGCTATGACACGATTACCGCCGCTCTTTGTGGCCATTCGAGTGCTGTTTTCTATCTTCGCTAAATCTTAATCAATGAAAGACGAGTGAAAAAAAACGAAGAAGCCCCGAGAAATTATTTCGCCCCGCCTCGGGTAGTCTCCGCGACGCGCTTGAGTGTTGATCTTTCGTATGCGTCACTTTTCGATTTATTTATAATTCCATTGAGTTTTTCTGTAAACGCAATAGAGTCGGAACGATTTTCCACGCTGCAGGCAGTAGTCTATCACTGAGGACTGGGAACAATTACGATGTCATTGTTGGAGAAAGTTTATCATTGGTTTATTATCTCTGAAATTTTGGATTAGATAGCAGTGACTGATTGGGCGATAATAGATAGCTGTGACTATTGATAACATCGATCATCGAAGAATGACTGATTAAATGGAGTTTAATCGAAAATCAGAGCAGCAGAAATTTTATTGATCTCTCATTTGTGGTGTCTGTTTCTTTTATCTCGTTGTGGCGATCGTGTTCGGAGATAATTGGGATTAATTGGGAAATCGAGTGAACACGGTCGATGGAGTTCACTCGCTCATGGACTATTTCCCTAATTACATGAAAGGATCTATAATAAGGTGTGCTAAAATAGACTCCAGTGGAGTTTCAACACACCTGCTGATGGATTAATTTGAAATATCAATGGTAGATTTTTTAATGAGTGAACACGCACGAAAAAACTCTTTCGGCCACTGTATTGCGGATTCCGCAGCTTTACTGCGCGCTTTTTTTAGATAATGTGCAATTGAAATGATTTTATGCTCACAGAAAAACCTACATGTAAATTACGCTTTGGTAAGTGTAATTTATGGTTTGCTGAGCGCCATTTACAGTTAACACCAATATGATGTGCGGTGGTTCTTTTCTGTCATAAAAATAGGAATTGAGGCTTCATAAAGGCGTATTTCACGGTTAAAATGACAACGTAAATTGCAATCTTAATAGAACCGTGTGCTACGATTAACTTGTGAGTAATTTATGAAAAAAACATCGTATTTTACGCTTCACATGACTTTTTTTTTCTTCGTCGTTAATTATGGATAATAAATATAAAGTACAAAAAAATCGTCGCAATTTATGAATACGAAATCGTAAATCATGTAATAGTAATTTACGACAATTTTGAGCGTAATTTACGCTTCAGCTTTAAGCTTCAAAAATAGGCTAGAGAAATCATAAAAGAGGAATTCTTAAACGTTATTTTACGTTTAGGTTTTTTTGTGTGTAGAAAAATTCAGTAGAATTTCATCTTTCTATACGACTTTTTCTATTGAGACATTCTCCACAGGAATTTTTTTCGGTCTATTTTCTCTTCTTTTCATTTTTAAAAAAATTGAATAAAAGACGTAGAAAATTTGAGCCACGGATTTTGCGTAGAAAACATTTCAATAAAATAAGTCGTTTGAAAAAATCGAATTCTATTGAATTTTTCTATAGATTATTTTCTATTTTCCATGTTTTATTGAAAAAAAATGCCATTACATGAAATCTATAATAGAATGTACCAAAATACACTCCAGTGAAGTTTCAACACACCTTTTAGTCGATTAATTAAAAATGTGAATGATCGATTTATTGAATGGAATGAACACGTCTTCATTAGAGCGTTTTATTGAGTAGAAAATTTGAGCTGGTGAATTTCTTCAGTAAACATTGAATATTCCTGTTGAAAAAACACGCTCAGGTAAGCTGCGGAATTCTTCAGTAGAATCGGTCAAAAATTAATAGAAAGTTCAATAGAAATCCAATACAATTTTCTAGCAAATTCGTTAATATTGTTTGGAAAATTTTTGTGTACGTGAATGTTTAAGAATTGTTGTCCGGAATAATTTTTATCTTTCAAGAGATGTTTTCAATAGGAGAGTCAAATAAATCACTGAAATGTACAAGGATTATTCTACGTTCTGTCAAAATTGAACACCTAAAATGTTTCATAATTTCTTTTGAAGCCCGTTAAGGTGATGAAATAGTGGAGGATGATGACACCTTTGAGTTTTTTAGAATAGAAAAATTATCGTTGAACAATTATTTGTTCTTTCGGTATCGCTTATCCAATAGTCGCAACTGCGTAAATTTAGAGTTGAAAAAGTTAATTGCGCAAGTGTGACAGCGTGAAAAATCCACGGCTTCCTCAATCAAATAAAGGAAGAAATACGTAATTGACTTTATCTGAATTATAATTCAGCAAAGTGGCGCCAGATCTACCAATGGATTTAACTTCACTACTAATTACCGACGAACGATTTAATTAACGAAAAATTAACCGAACGATTGTCCAAGGTATGGTGTCCCACGTCTTCACCACTTTATGGTGACTGTATCAAATGGGAATGACGGCTTGAAAAATCGATGGAACAGCTGCTACGGGGGAAAGAGTTCCCCACAGTGTCATAAACTATCGTTTCGTAATTTTTTTCGTTAAAATCCGTATTTATTTCAACAAAATTTTGTAATTATTCTTTAAATTGAACTCTGGAGGTCTTCCTTGATTTTTCCTCTTCAACCGTTCGAAAATATATTATTTTTAAAAGTACAAAAAAATTAGAGTAATTTTTGGAGAAAGCCTTACACTGAAAAAAAAATTATTCAATAGCGTATTTTACCAGTGGAGTCATTCCCAGACAATTCTTAATAGGTTTCAAGTATGTAAATTATACTGCTCTAGAAGATGATCATGTTAGTTATGACCTCGAGTGTACTACCTGAATAATTATCAACATTAAAAAATTAATCGAAATTATTCCCGAAAAAAATCACTGAAAAATCGGAAAAAAAATCTTTTTTTACTTTTTTATCAAAACCCCATGAATTTTTCTGTTCATCTGCCATAAATTTATCCGCCGCAAATTTATTCCTTAATTTAAAATAAAAATGCTCTCAATACCTTACACTACCTAGACTACAGTACTTTTCATGTACTGTCAGAAATTTCTGGAAATTTCCGTCACAGCGTCATCCGAATTTTCGATGTTGTGAAGTTAAATTCAACTTCAAATGAAAGCGTTCACTAAATTTCTCATTTATCTTGAAAATTCAAGAAAATTGGATTTTTCATGTTAAATAATCATTGATTTTTCAACGAAACCTTGAATTTCCAAACTCATTCATAAATTTAGAATTCAGAAAAGTTATTGTTTGAATTTGCAAAATTTTGAAGGTTTTCCCGTGCGGTATGGACCTGAAAATCGCAAATTACTTGAATACTCCCAAAATTAACTTGTTCGTCAATGAAAAATTATACAGAAATTTCATGTAACTTTATCCATCTTAAAAATTTCAAGCTTTTTCACTCGAAATTTCAAGAGTATTTCTCTAACAATGTGTCATCCTGTCGAATCGTCGCGAATCATCCGATCAAATCACCTGCAATCACTCCCCTAAAAAAACCATCTAAAAAACCTTTCCAATCTCAATTCACTCCCCTAACGACATCGAAAAAAAGACGACCTCGAAATCATCTCCCGAGCAAGTGTCCCCCCCGCCAGCCCACCGCATGGGANGCCAGTCCGCCGTATGGGAAAAACAAACCCCCTCTGAAAAACCTGCATTACCCTTTTCCCAAAAGGTCCCAGTAAAGTGGCGCCGCGGCCGTCACACCGACGAACCCCTTCGCCGCAATCGAAGCACTCCACAAACCCACACACACACACACATACACATACACATACACACATATCCAACAGCAGGAAAACCGGAGGAGCCTGTGAATTAAAAGATGGCCGACGAGCAGTGGTGACGGGTTTAGTGTGGAATGTCTGGCCGTAAAATTAGTGATTTTCGCGTAACTCTGATGGCCTAGCAATGGCCGAATTCAACATCGACATCGGTAAACTCCCTGAAGACGTGAGGGAGAAGTTAGCCGAGTTGGAGTTGGAGCTGTCCGAAGGTAAATTCATTAATCAAAAATTCCTGAAGCACTTACGTAGCAAACAATTGTCCCCCTTTCCCACATGAAAAAAAAGGCCCCGAAGTAACCCCCCATGACTCACCCCACCGTCATTGCCATTCACACGCTCCTGATAATCAATATCATCACCGAAACCCAATTTCCACGATTTATCCGCAAATAAGGGGTGAAATCACATGGCCTCTCTATTCATCTCATTATTTGTTTTCTCCATCTCTCCATTTATCGATTAGTGTCTCCAGGTATTGTCACACGATTTCCAAATTCCCTCGTCCTCATTTCGAGATTATGTAGACACCGCCAGTGAAACTTTGGTCAATATCCTCAGTGAGAAGAGAAAGAGGGGAAAAATATGTGGAGAGGGAGAGAGAGAAAAAATTTAACCATGCACCTTTTATCCGACGAATAACCACATACGTGGGTACGGATGTTGGCTATATAGGTTACAATTTTCAGTCCTCTCTTTCAATACATTACGACCGCACCTCTTGAAAAGCCCATAATCAATGTGTGCTTTTAAAACCCGACCGCAAGGTAGAACAAAAAAGGACACAAAAACCCGGGCATAATGCATTATCCTATAAAAACAGTGAACAATTCCCCTAAACAATGCCTCCTCGTTTATGCAATTTCTCGGTTTCTGTTCATTCGCCGTCTAACAACAAAAAAAATGTTCTCGACTGATTGAATGATGGCTTAAAAAATTTGTTTGGGTGTCGTCTCGACCGAGTTGGAAGATGAAGGCGATAGCAATAATCGTTATTTTGATTTATTTCAAAATACGAAAAAATTTTGTAATCATACTTGAGATGAAGTCAATCATAGCTTAACATGTTCGTTTTAATGCGATTAAGTCGAAGTTAAAAGATGATTACGATAGCTGTATTGGTTGATTTGATTTTTATGATGATTGCTGAAAATTTCGAATTTTGCATGAATTCCCCTGAAAATGAGCTTTTTAATGGCTTCTTCAAATGTGATGTTTAAAAATTTTTCAGTCGTCTCTTTCAATACATTACAACCGCACCTCTTGAAAAGCCCATAATCAGTGTGCTTTTAAAACCGACCGCACGGTGGAACAAAAAAAGAATTAAAAACCCTGAGCATATTGCATTATCCTATAAAAATAGTGAACAATTCCCCTAAACAATGCTTCTTCGTTTATTCAATTTCTGTTTCTATTCATTCGTCGTCTAACAGCACTTTAAACAGTGCAAAATTGAATTTAAAAAATTGTTTGGGTGTCCTTTCACCGAGTTCAAAGATGAAGGCGATAGCAATAATCTTTATTTTGTATTCTCTGAAAATGAAAATTCCGAGGATACTTTTGAATATCATGCTTCAGATTAATTCAATCATAACTTAAAATATTCGTTTTAATGCCACTGAGTCGAAGTTAAAAGATGATTACGATAGCTGTATAGGTTGATTTGATTTTTATGATGATTGCTGAAAATTTCGAATTTTGCATGAATTTCCCTGAAAATGAGCTTTTTAATGGCTTCTTCAAATGTGATGTTTAAAATTTTTTCAGTCGTCTCTTTCAATACATTACAACCGCACCTCTTGAAAAGCCCATAATCAGTGTGCTTTTAAAACTGACCGTACGGTGGAACAAAAAAAGAATTAAAAACCCTGAGCATAATGCATTATCCTATAAAAATAGTGAACAATTCCCCTAAACAATGCCTCCCCGTTTATTCAATTTCTCTGTTTCTATTCATTCGTCGTCTAACAACACTTTAAACAGTGCAAAATTGAACGATTACGTCAAGTCCTATATTTAAATCTTGCCTCCACCGCGGATCAGCGAGAAATTCCGCGTGTAAAAAACTCGATTACAAATACAACGAGAATCAACTGAATTCAGATATAAATAAAGAAATAATGGAGAAACTATTCTCTAACGAATTCCCCTAATTACCACTAATTCACATAGCAGTATTTGCTCATGAATAATCCCCCTGCCTCCCTTGAACAGTAAAAAACCACAATCCAACGCCGAGTGGAGAAGAATAATTTCCTAATTGTCATGCTCATAAGCATTTAATGTATACTAATGTATATTTCCCCCGTTACGTGGAAGTTATCGAACACTCTCAAGGTGGTTGGTACCTTTAACACACATGTAGCGCATGACGATGCCCCCGTGTCCGTACGGAGTTAATAATGGGATGCTGCGGAGCGCGGCGATTGTCCAAGGTGACGTGGAAGTGGAATAAATAAGCCCTCGGGATTTTTTGAAGTGTAAAGGAAATTGGGGAAAACGAAATTTCAACGAGTTTTTGTAGCTAAGGAACTACTGGATCGCACAGCTGAAAATTTTTAGCTGAAATTTCCGGTACATTTTACGGAATTTTTTGTCACATTTTAGTTCCACTGAAATTTCAGGGAATTTCGTCGTTGAAAATTCAGAATTTCATGGAAAAATCGATGAGAACTGTTCAATTATTCCCGGGAAATTAGTCGAAATCAGTAAAATTCCGGTAAATATGCTCCGGTAAATATATTAATTGAAACTTTATTGTAATTCGGCACTGAATATTCATGATCTCATTAATCATTCGAATAGATGAGGAATTCTCATTCCAGTGCGGTTCAAAAAATTTTAATTTCACGGAAGTTTCGACGAAATCTGAAATTTCATTTTTTCCCTTTAAATCGCATTTCCTAAAGATAAACTATCCAAAACAAATTGCCGCACACATACGTAAAGACATGTTGTAAAAAACACAATTTCGTCACGTTTCATAACATTCTACATTATTTCCAAGTAAAATTAGGAAATATCAAAATCCGACAAATGCAAAGCTTTCATTCGAAAGATAAAACAATAATAGCGAACGGTGAGGTTTTGGGGGGTTGAGATGAGGGGGATGGGAGGACTATGAGGTGTTTTCCACATTGATTATATTTCAATGCTTTTGGGGAAGAAGACGCACTGATAGACCGATTTAATTAATTATCAATCACTCAATTTTCGTCCATTCACTGTTTGAAATTTCATGTAATTTAAGTAATAGTTGAATTTGAAATTTGAATGTTGTGAATTTGAATGTAATTTAACATTCAATTGCTCATTAATACTTTGATATGTCAATGACAGCTAGAATTCTCGAATTAATTGTGAAAATTAAACATCGCATTGGATTGAATTTTCAATAGATTGAAGTGGATCTTAAAATGAACCAATCCGCCAGTACTCAACAACAGAAATCAACAACATACAAGACAATCTCATGTGAATCATCGTTATTAAAAAAATCAGGAGTAATTTTCTAACAGTGCAGCCTATCCGTTAGCTATCAACGAATGCACATTCATTCGCGAATAATAATAAGCAATTCCATCAGTGCATGCACCCAAGACCTAGCAACTACCTAAAAATCTACATTCACGGAAATCCCCTCAAAATTCTCCCACACTGAGAGAAAAAATTAACTCTGCCGAAAAACTATAGTGGAATAGATTAACTTGAGGGCAATTAACCAAATTTTAGAAGGAAATTCAATATCTCTCCTAAAAATTAAATTTTCGTCGTGGTCATCAGAAATAGTCCTAGAAGAATTCGACCTGTTGCCAGGAGAAAAAATAATCTATTGCATGACAATCATTTGATCCGAGAGAACTCCACAGGCTTTTACCATAAAAAAGAATATATATACGAGGAAAGAATATTTTGTTTCCAAAAAAATTGTCCCCTCCAAATTCTTCAGTGTTTCCAATACCATAGTTTTGGAAAATTGTAGTTTTCTCTTGCAATTATCATTTGTGATAATAGAAAAAAATCATTTATTTCGTAATGAAAAAAAAAATTGTCTCGAAATTATTTCAGTCGTGAAGTGGTAAAACGGTTCAAGTCGACTTATCTCGTAGTTTTTAAAGAATACCTCCGAATCTAAAGAAGATAACGAAATTTTCGTGATAACCTTTTTTCTAGAGCGAATTGAGTGCTACAAAAAGGTATTGACAAAAATTTTGCTATCTCCCTTAGATTCCGAGATATTCACTGAAAAATGGCCAATAGTCAAAACCGACTTAAACCGTTTTACCACTTCGCTACTGATTTACTTTTCCCACTACCGCAGTGTTGGATTGCCATATTCTCTTGCAATTATCATTTGTTATAGTAAAAAAAAAAGATCATTTGCTGTAACTTACAACACCGAAAATTATCACGTTCCGGTGGGAACTTTCTTTTTCGTCCACAATTAAATACCCCCAGGGGCCCATACAACTTTTCGACAGAACAAATTTTTCTCTCAGCGCATTGATAACGAATGATCTCTTCCACCGCTGCACTCTCCCCCCAGCAGCCTCCCCCGCCCCCTCAGCCGGACGATACGTGCTCCCCCTCGTTAAATTATTCTCAAATCCTCTCGCCCCCACCAGGTACAATAATCCCAGTCCCGATGTTACTGAAAACACTGAAAGATACCGCGTGGTTATTCCCACTCGAGCACAACGCGCACACAATATTGCTGTTAGAGAGTGGCCGAACCGCATGCCTACCACCACTACCTCAGCATCTCTCCTTCAGATACCTTCCTTTAGCCTCCTCCAGGGGGGGGCCCTCTTATTATACCTATGGTAGTGGCCGCCTCCTTGGAGCATTGCACCAGTCTCGCTGTTGGACCTCAACAAGGATGCTTGCGCCGTTGCCAGCGTGGCCCAGCATCCCCTTATCTATTATTTAATCGGTCAATTAACACGCTGATTGAGCCAGTACCGGCAGTACCCCCTCCCCCCCGGTGACCCCTCCTCCCTCGTATCACCACCGGTTCAACCAGACAAACACAAAAAAATAAAACTCACTCACCCCGGGGAGGGAATTTAATTGATCACCTAAATCGCAGTATCAATTGACCGATACAACCGGAATTATGAGAATTATTCGCATCTGTTCGGTATACGTTACGTGTAAATTGGATCTACCACAGTGTGGAATGTGGCATTGGTGAAGGAGGGTATCCTCTCAACACTACCATTAAGCGGCCGGTTTGATTCGTGCCCAGGCTTGTCCACACTCACAAACACACACGAACGAGTCAAAGTGGAAAGATAACATTTGCCTGCAACTACACCACAAAATGTGTGCAGAATAGGTGAAAATTCAGCCGCTTGTTACCATCAAACTCCGATCCATCGGTTACATAGTCAACCCCGAGTCCTCCAGCCGTAGTTTTAATACTCCTCTGTGGAATTATCTCAATGATCATCGCGGATGGGCGCGCGGGTGTGTTTCAAAGTGAAACGCAAATGGCAGAGAGGATATAAATTCAGATTCACTCTCAACGCTCCTTTTTTCCAGATGATTTTTATTTGTTCGTCGAGTGCAAGTGAAAAAGGTCGTGAGAGAGGAGTTTGTTGTTTTCTCGTGTGGGTATAATCGCGCTCGCGAGAGGGAGAGCTCAGGGGAGAGAAAGTTTGCGTCCGTGAAGCGATATAGGAAAAACAGGAACGTGTCTGAAATTCTGCCTCATTCGTTAGGCACTTAACATGTGTTATAAAACAGTGTCGTAATTATGATTTCCTGTTTGATTATATTGCATGAATTTATGGGCGGTTTAACGCTGGGCCCATGAGGCCAATATCATTTGAAAACTTGAGGAGGCTCGTTGGACGTAAGAAGGATCGTAACGAGCCATCCTTCAAGCGCAGCGAGTCCTTCAAAAGAATATCGATAAGAAAGAGTTACCTAGATCGGGGCAAGAGGAGGAATAAGGCCCTGCAGAAAGTCAATGATATACAGTCTAATCAGAGATCAAACGATGTTACGGAGAATGTTAAAATCATCGAGGATGAACCGAGAAAATTTAATGAGGATAATAGCGAAACAAAGAGCATTGCATCAACGAATAAATCAAAAATTTCTGCTCGACGTACCATAGCTTACGACGACTGGCTCAACGATGTTAACAGCACAAACAACGAAAAATTGGCCAACGCTGAGCGGGAAAATGACGCGAAAATTGAGCGAATTAAATCGTCAATTTGCGCTGATTTTGGTGGATTACGGTTGGACGTTGAGTCGCCAGTGTCAGAGGTATTCTCAAGGTCAACCTATTCCGATGCCATCGACACGACACCCGACGATTCCATGACCTTGGCTGAGGGCGGTCCACCGAGTGTCAGTGTGAGTCTCGGTAGAGTCTGGCTGGACACTGTAATAATGCCCTTTCCGTCAGTATCCTCGGTATCGTCAATTAAAAACGAGATTAAAGAGTCAAGTAGTACGTGCAGCAGCGCCAGTAGTATAACATCAAAGGCGCATCGATCCCTCGACTCGGCCCTCAATGATCGTAAACAATCGTCTCAAGTTGTTGTTGCAAGAACCGTCTCAGCGCCAGTGAAAAAATCCAGCAAAAATGGAAGTACATTCAACAGTTTTTCCATGTCCATTACCAAGATGAGGCAGTTCAAATCGAAGAAGAATGGCCTATTCTTCAGTAAAAATTCCAGTAAATCGTCGCTGAGCGGTGGTGGATGTGGCGAGACACCGGGCAGTGATTTAGAGGGCAATAGCCACAACAGAAGATCATCTGCTACCCGTAAATCCAATAATTCATCCTGCTCCACCAACGACATTGCACCATTAACCCTGGATCATGATAATTTTGGCTTTGTGCCACCTGAGAAACGCAGATCAAAGAGAGTCCCCCAAATTTGGCACGAGATACGCTACTGTTCAAATAGTCTCGACGATATTGATGCCGGGGAAATGTCGAGTTTCGAGGTGACTCCACTGCTTTATGAGTCTCGAAATTTCAACGAGTGCCATACACCCAACGATGAATTATTGAATTCCTACAGGAGTTCATCGACCTGTTCGAAATCATCGATAGGCTCGTTTCACGGTCCCAAAATCAGTGATTTCAATGAGGACAAGATATTGTCCGAAAAATTACGCGGAATACTGGCCCAACGCCCCACCTGGCAGCCATCAAATGCCCCCCATGCAGATCAAGACGAGAATTTCTTCTCCACTAATTACTTCAAAGATTTCATAAAACCCAAGGAGAAAAATCCACCGATTAATTACTACAGATGTTTATCGTCCAGCGAGAGTGAATCAGACTGTCGTAGATTCGATGATTCTCGAATTGACATTAACAAGCGTCGTTTAATTAAGAGCCAAGAGTACAGTGATAAGAGAACTGGATGCGCGGATAGGGAGAGACGTAATTTACCGAAGAGACGTTCACAACCTAAACGAAAGTATCAACAGCAGTGTCAGTCCCATCAGCGACAGCCTGTATATCTTGTACGCAAGTGCTCCTCATTGAGACGACGACCCAGTAAGATTAATTGTCTTGACGAATTAAATTGTGAAATTTATCGTCCATCATTCATTCCCACAAATTTCGCTCAATTCTTTTTTAAAAAAAAGGAGTAGACGAGGAGAAAGAGAAACGCAACAGCAGCTGAATAAAAAGTTGTCTTCTTGACAAATGTAATGGTTTTTTTCCCTTTGTTGCAGGGGACATTACGCAAAAAGGATACGAGAAAAAACGTACGCGTCTGCTCCAGCAGTATGCCTCAAAGCAGTTGGGTAAGTTAATTCATTAGAATCATTGTAAAACTCCTAAACACAATTTAATCACACGATTATGGAATTGTAATTAAATTACGACAATGAATGTTAGTCGTTGGCAATTGCTCTCCAGAGTTCTCTAAAGCGTGCCATTTTATGCGTTTCACACTCGAGTGAGTTCTGGGCCGGCTCGAGGCGACTAACGCCTCGGAAAAATCCTCTCATACTTGCGTAAAAGAACGTGACCGTACGTAATGCTGCAACAGCGAATAAAACTCGAATCATGCCAAGTACAAAGAACAATGTTGCAACTTGTCGAGGTTTTTTTTCTCTTTTTTTTTTCATTTCAACTATTTTTCATAATCTCTACTTACCACCCACTAACAATGCCACAAAAAATACTGGAAACAAGAGTAAACTTGAACTACATTCTGTCAATTAACGCATGTTGAAATGCAAAAAAACACCTAAAAGTGATGGAAAAAACAGGTGGGAATGGCGGTGGTACCGGTGGTAGCGCTGAAAAAACTAATTATGGAAGTGGCGGTGGTGGTGGGGTACCAGGCGGACGTCCTCAGCCCCGAGCAAGACGCACCCAGCGTCGGGTCACGCACTCGGAAAAGCGTTATCATTCAGGTGGGCACTAAGGGGTGGGGGCTTCACCCTTCCTCTCTATCTCTCTTCCATCTGCTTCTTACGTACTAACCATTATGTTTTCCTCGTGCACTTGTCTTCTCCGCATGCTCTCATCCGCTTTACCCGCACTTATAGCCAATCACATCACAGATTATTACGTCCGAGCTGTTGAAATTTATGACCGAGAGAGTGAATAAAAAAAGAAAATGTTGTGTTAAATCCAGGCATGATTCGTCGGTGGATAAGTCACGTTAATAGAATGAATAAAAAAAATTAATGATAATAATGTGAGGTATGGAAAATACATGTCTATGTGGCATTTGATGTTGATGTTGCATGCAGGAGGCCGGCTTGTACCTGGGGCCACTGCCAGTCCTTCGGGATCTGGCGGCTCTGGGGGGAACCCCACGGTCAATGCAACTGCCGCAGCCGCTGCTGCTGCCGCTGCGAGACGGGGTAATCGAAGACTCACGCGAAATGAGAGTCGTTACCACTCGGGTAAGTATTCCACAGCCTCTCATCGTTCTTCTACTCTCTCAGTTGCTCGTGGAATTATGGGGGGCATTCAAATATTACGTCGCATTATTGGGGCGGAGGGGGGAGTTTGTGACGTCACATAATTTTTTTGCCATTTTTAATAGAAGAAAATGCAAATGCAATTTTTTCTCACCCGTTTTGTCACGAAAAAAAACAGGGATGATCAATTCTTGAAAACACATTGTTAAAAATTTTCGCCTGAATTTTCCGTGTCGAATCCTGGAAATTTTTATCATGTTTAATTTTCTCTGAAATTTCAGGAAATCTCGTGATTGAAAAATCAAATATTCCGTGGATTTTCAGGTTGAATTATCGGAGAATCAATAGAATAGTTAATTTTCCAGTCAATTATTCCGTGAAAATTCGGAAAATGTGGAAAATTCAAGGAAAAATTGAAAATTCATATCAGTTTGTCTCTGAATTTTCATGTTTCACTGCAGATTCTATCAAGCTGTGAAATTTCCGCCGAAGACTCATGAATTTCCTTGAATTCTATTCTCTCGGGCAAACGAAGAAAAATTCACTATTTGTCTCGCATTTTTTTCTCGATATAGGGTCAAAAAGTACTGAAAATCGAGTTTTTCAATTCAAAAATCTATACTTTTCAATTTTAATGTTATGAAAGAAACAAAATATTCGCAGAATAATGGGGGGAGAGGGTCTAAAAAGTTAAAAAAAAAGCGTGACGTAATATTTAAGTGGCCCCTAGGGGATTTTTTTTTGTTGGAATGGGAGAATCATGGTGAAATTGAGTTCTGCCTAGGGAATTCGATAGATAAGGGATCGATAATTATTGTAACGAGACAGCGTAATAATATTCCTGGAGTATGTACTTGGTGAATGCACTCTTCTCTCGATTACGTTATTTTTATTGTGTATTTAGGTTGATTGGGTGAGTTCCTTGAGCCTAGCATGCATGGTGTGGCCCTCCTTATTCATCGCAGTAGATTAATAACCCGAGCTTTTATTTACGCAATCATCTGGCAGGAGATTCTTGTGGATTAATATCTTAGTGGGATTGATTTATTTCGAAGAATTGTATTTTTGGACTGTTTTTCACCCCGAGAAATTTTTTATTAGGATCGACTAAATGCGTTTATTCAAATAGCTGGTAAGAACGCTTTTATTAACATCGAAGAAAAAAGATTCAAAATATGAAGAACCGTTTCTTTGATCTAAATTAATTAGAAATGAAATTAATTGAATAAAGAAAAATGAATTTATTGACGTTTCATAATCATTCACTAGATCAAATAAATTGTTTATTTGGTTCTAAAAATGGATGAGTTTGAACTTGAATGATTTTTATCAATTTCCACCTCAAAAATTTGGTTGATATGAGTAGAAAAATGTCAAATAAAGAGTTTTATTAGATGTGAATTCATCATTTATACGAAACGCAGTCGCGAATTGAATTTTCGGGCCGTTTTTTTATTCAAAGAAATTGTTCATTTGAATTGAATAAATGGGTTGATTCATTCACACTAAATAAACAGTTTTTGAGATGTAAACAACTGTTTATTGATCCAAATTAATTAGATTTTAAATAAATCGAATGAAAAGAGTGAATTTATTGACGTTTAATAATCACTCCTTTGGATCAAATAGATTGTTTACTCGAATCAAATGAACGGGATGTGAATAAAGTTTTTATTCACATGAAATAAACAGTTTCTTAAAAATATAAACAACAGTTCCCACTGATTTGATTCCAATAGCAATATTTTGCCGGAAGAATGACCAATTTTTATCAATCCCATAAAAAATATTGTTAAAATGAACAGCAAAATGTCAAAAAAGGAGTATTATTTCATTTGACTCCGTCTTTTATATCCACCCCGAAATTATTCTTTCCCACTTGGATATTCCTCAACTCAACATTCGTGAATTCATCATTCGTCATAACGAAATATTCTTGCAGAGGTTCGACAGGAGGCAGTTCAGCAGGCGCTTGCGGCAATGCAGGGAAGGCCAAAGCCCTCGCTGCCAATGCCCTCGAAGAGAACATCAGTAATGGCGAGAAGTCCCGATCGTGATCGTCGAGACAGCGGTGAATCAAGCAGCGACGAAGACAGCGTTGTAACTGAGGAATCACCTGGGGCTGGTGGTCCCACCGGTACTGGTCTATCGGACACAAGTAGTACAGGTTCAGCGCGCGATACACCACCACCACCAAGACCACCCGCGAGGCGACCACCACCGGCTGACATAACAGACATCGCTGAATACACACCACACGCTTACTGCAATATTCAACCGCCTGATGTTACGCACACAACGACGCAGTCCAGGAGACCAGGGGCTGACAGAGTCAATCGTTATCATGTTGTCGATGAGAACAACACGGGGACAACGGGGAGGTGGAAGGTGTCGGCTAAGATACAGCAGCTTTTGAATACACTGAAGAGACCGAAACGTCGACCACTGCCGGAGTTCTATGAGGATGATGATATTGAACTGGAGATCGCTGCCAATCCGAAAGATCCGAATGCACCGAAACCTGAGGGGGGGATCATGACACCTGCTCTTGGGGAACAGCTGTCTGTCCCTTCGGGATTGCCGAGGTCTTTGGAAGCTGCGATTCAGAGGTGAGAACATCTTTTATCAGTGGTGTTGGTCGATTTAGAGTATTCTGGTGGTTTTTGAGTATTTTTCGACTGGTAATCGATATCATTATGGAAAAATGGAACACTAGTGAAGAAGAATTACTTAGAAAATCATTCTGAACATTTCTTAATTCTCAAAAACTAGTAAAAAAATGAAATAAATTTCGGAATATTCCAGCATTTTTGAGTATTTTGCGATTGAAAGTCGGTTTCATCATGAGAAAAAACATCATTTGAGCAGAAGAATTCATTGTAAAATCACTCTGAACATTCGTTAACTTTGATTTAAAATCATTTAAAAAATAGAAAAAAAATCCTAGTATTCTTAACTAAAAAACGATTTCATCATGAAAACATGCAACACAAGTAGAGGAGAATTACTTAGAAAATCATTCTGAACATTTCTTAATTCTCAAAAACTAGTAAAAAAATTAAGTAAATTTCGGAATATTCCAGCATTTTTGAGTATTTTGCGATTGAAAGTCGGTTTCATCATGAGAAAAAACATCATTTGAGCAGAAGAATTCATTGTAAAATCACTCTGAACATTCGTTAACTTTGATTTAAAATCATTTAAAAAATAGAAAAAAAATCCTAGTATTTTTAACTAAAAAACGATTTCATCATGAAAACATGCAACACTAGTAGACGAGAATTACTTAGAAAATCATTCTGAACATTTCTTAATTCTCAAAAACTAGTAAAAAAATGAAATAAATTTCGGAATATTCCAGCATTTTTGAGTAGTTCCCGATTGGAAGTCGGTTTCATCATGAGAAAAAACATCATTTGAGCAGAAGAATTCATTGGAAAATCACTCTGAACATTCGTTAACTTTGATTTAAAATCATTTAAAAAATAGAAAAAAAATATCCTAGGAATTTTAACTAAAAAACAATATCATGAAAAAATGCAACTAGTGCCAAAATCACTTGAACCAATGCTCAATTCCCCAAAAAAATCGCAAAAAAAAAAATTACGGAATATTCCAGCATTTTCGCGTATTTGACAAAAAATCGGTTTTCTCCTTAACTTTCAAAAAATCATTAACAAAACAGAAAAAAAATAATATCCTAGCATTCCCAACTAAAATTCCACCTCATCGCGGCAAGCATATCTCACAAGTCAAGAACTTTTCAAAAGCCCCCTCAACACCCCATAATCCCGGCAAAACTGATTCCAGGTACGGTTCAGCCACGTACAAAGCCCCCGCCGCAACCGTACTCGACCCAAACGGCAAGCTCTGCATAACCCTGACCTACGGAAAACTCCAGAGTCGTTCTCACAAAATAGCCTACACCCTCCTGAACAAAGCCCTGAGCCGCAATCCCGGTGACATATGCCTGAAGCCCGGTGACAGAATAGCCCTAGTCTACCCAAACAACGATCCCATAAGTTTCATGTGTGCATTTTACGGCTGTCTCCAAGCGGGAATAGTCCCAGTGCCGATTGAAGTGCCATTAACCCGTCGTGACGCTGGCTCCCAGCAGATAGGTTTTCTCCTCGGTAGTTGTGGAATTCAAGTGGCTCTCACCAGCGAGGCATGCCTCAAGGGCCTGCCAAAGACAACTGCTGGTGAAGTGGTTGCCTTCAAAGGTTGGCCAAAATTACACTGGTTTGTAACCGAGCACTTGGGCAAAACCCCGAAAGACTGGCTACCACCGCCAAAATTAACCGACGAAACACCAGCGTACATTGAGTACACAACCGACAAGGATGGCTCAGTGATGGGTGTAACAGTGACAAGAGCAGCAATGCTGTCGCACTGTCGTGCCCTGACAATGGCGTGTGGCTACACCGAGGGTGAAAATGCCGTTTGCGTTCTCGATTTTAAACGCGAAGTGGGCCTTTGGCACAGCACACTGACAAGCATTCTCAACGGTATGCACGTCATCTTCATACCTTATGCACTGATGAAGGTCAATCCAGCGAGTTGGATGCAGATGATAACAAAGCACAGGGCCAGTGTGGCTGTTGTTAAGTCACGAGATCTTCATTGGGGCCTTCTTGCCACTAAAGATCACAAGGATATATCGTTGTCGTCACTGAGACTGTTGCTCGTTGCTGATGGTGCTAATCCGTGGTCATTGTCCTCTTGTGATCAATTCCTGTCCGTATTTCAGTCGAAGGGACTTCGACCTGACGCTGTATGTCCGTGTGCATCGTCCAGCGAGGCACTCACTGTCTCAGTGAGACGTCCTGGTAGGGCTGGTGTCAATGCCACTGGACGTGGTGTTTTGTCAATGTCCGGACTGAGTTACGGGGTCGTTCGCGTCGATCAGGAGAATTCATTGACCTCGTTGACACTCCAGGATTGTGGACAAGTTATGCCTGGGAGTATTGCTGTTGTTGTTAAGATGGAGGGACAGGCTTTGATTTGTAAGACGGATGAAGTTGGGGAGATTTGTCTGCACAGCAGTGCCACTGGGAGTCAGTACTGGGGACTTCAGGGGCTGACTAATAACACTTTTAAGGTGACACCTGTGCAGAGCGATGGCACTGCCATTTCGGGGGGCGCTGAGGGGGAGTATGTGAGATCTGGACTGCTGGGTTTCTTGGGACCGGGCAATTTGATATTTGTCTGTGGCTCGAGGGATGGCCTAATGACTGTCACTGGGAGGAAGCACAATGCTGATGATATTATTGCTACTGTACTTGCTGTGGAACCTATGAAGTTCATTTATCGTGGGAGGATCGCTGTGTTCAGTGTTAGGGTACTCAGGGATGAGAGGATATGTGTTGTTGCTGAGCAGAGGCCGGATTGCAGTGAGGAGGAGGTAATCTCACTAATTTTACGTTAATTGAATGATGGGGGAATAAAGGGAAGAGTCTCGGTGGTAAAACGTTTTTTTAGGGATTTCTCTCTTTCATTTGTATTTGTACTATTTATTTTTCTATTTTTGGGGTAGTTGTTGGAAGTTTGGGGCATGGTATCAGTTTTTAGAAGAGAAATTTATATCATGAGGAGACATTTTCGTCAATTGGAGCGGTGATACACGATGAATGATGAACAGTTAGGCAGAAGGAAAGAGATGATTCTTTGAGACTTTTATTAGTATAGAGTGCCATCTGTCGAGAGGGAACAATATAACTCAGAATTAGAATGAAGTGAAATTGAATCTTGAAAAAGTGATGAGAGTAGGTGCAATATAAACTTCCATTACACTGTTAGAAAATTAGTCCCGAAAATTCAGTTGAAGAATTTGAAATTGGAATTGAAATGGTTAAGAAGTAACTAATTCACACGAAATTTCCGTGTATTTTGTGACTGAAAGATTGGTTAATTTCTAGAATACTCCAGGATAGTCCGAATAACAATAAAACTAATTGAAAATCGTGAAAATTCAAACAACTATTGTTCTACATTTTCAATCCATTGGAAATTCAGTATAATGTGAGGTTTAATTGTCACAATGAGTTTGAGAATGCAACCTGCCATAGAAATATGGCCGTGACTATTCGCACCATTGCGTGAATCACTCCCGTACACTCCATACACTCCACGCATGCGTGAAGTTTGTGTGTTTCACGCAGCCGAATTTTCATACTGCTGTGTATTTCACGCAGTTGAAGTTTCATACTACTGTGTGTTTCACGCAGTTGTATTTTTATCTACAATTCGGGCCTTCAATTGAAACCGATAAGACCCGAGTTTGTAGCAAAGATGTCAGACAAGATATGAATGTTTTTTTGAGCTCAAACGAAAGAGCGGGTCGAGAAACGGCGTGCTAGGACCTCTAAAGATGGTTTTGAACCAGGGGAGACTCCTAGACCCCACTGGGCAATGTTGTCACAATTGCGCTTTTCAATTGAAAACAGACATCATCTTTAGAGAGATTTATCATCTTTAAAGACTTCTGCACGCCATTTCTCGACCCGCTCTTTCATTTGAGCCAAAAAAAACATTCATATCTTGTCTGACATCTCTGCTACAAACTCTGGTCATCAACTCTGGTTTTCAGTTGAAATTGGAATTGTTAATTTACACAATAATAGGAGTGCATTGACGATTTTTTCTCAACTCGCAAAAATCTTCAAACAATTTGCTACCGATTGGTGATAAAATTTTTTGGAAATAATGAAGTAGGGGGGATACGCCTTATTTTCAGGGGTGATTTTTCAAAAATTTATTTCAAAAAAAGTCATAACTAGCAAATGTTTTTTATTAGCTCGCAATTTTTTTCAAAACTACTTCAATGAGGAAAAAAATAAAAATTTGGAAT